AAAGAAAAGAAAAGAAAAAGAAAAGAAAAAGGAAAAGAGAGAAAAAAGAAAGCAGGCTGAGCAAACCATGGCGAGCAAGCCAGTAAGCTGCACCCCTCCATGGCTTCTGCATTGGCTCCTGCCTCCAGGTTCTCACCCTGAGTTCCTGGCCTGACTTCCTTCAGTGATGGACTGTGATTGTGGAAGCATAAGCCAAATGAATGAACCCTTTTCTCTCAAGTTGCTAACTAAGACTCAGACTCATCTTAATTATAAGTCTCAAATATTGAGACATTGTCTACTCAGGCCTTGTCACCATGTCTTGTTCTGGCTGTGGTGTGTGTGTGTGTGTGTGTGTGTGTGTGTGTGTGTGTGTGTGTGTGTGTGACAGAGACAGACAAACATACACACACACACAGAGAGAGAGAGAGAGAGAGAGAGAGAGAGAGAGAGAGAGAGAGAGAGAGAGAGACAGAGAGGAATAGTTAAGAATAATACAAGAAAGAGAAAAAAACGTAGGGGCTGATGGAGACCAGAATACAGTGTAGTTGTGGTCTGAAATTCTAAGTGCTCCCTGTGGGTAATTTTGGTCTGCCTTACCTCTGACTCTCACACAGTCTCCAAAGAAGACTTAATTATACAGCCCACGACCTTAAGCTGCACGTATAAATAGTGCCTCACCCTCCTCCCCGTGTGGCCTCTGCTTCTGACTGTGGGTGACAGCAATGTGTGTCCCCCTGGAGGCCCTGCCCTGCCCCCTCCCCGTGCACACATACCCGCTATCACAGGGACATCTCCCAGCAGCGTTTTCTTGTACTTGGTTAGACTCTCATCGTCTTTATCCATCTCCTGCAGCTCCTTCAGGGACTTCTGAGGGGGTGGCTTGTAATTGAGCTTGCTGTCCAGGTCATCGTCCCCCTCCTCCAGCTGTGGCTGTGCGTCCTTCTCAGTCATCGTGCTTCCTCTTGATTTCAGAGAAAGGATGATGGTCCATTAGCCTCTTGGCTTACTACTGGTACCACCCCTGCCTTACTGGAGATCTGTGCTCATCAGTGATCTTCAGATTGTCCCTCAACACATTTCTTGAAATATATACGCTTTCCCGTCATTTCTCTGACTTGTCTTAATTTTTTATTTTTAGAAATAAAACTATAGCAATAAATGGCTCACTGTGAACAGTACACGATAGTGAAGAAACATAACAAATAGTCCAAGTGACCAATAATTTTAGCTTTCTTTGCTCCATTGCTGTTCCCTGTATACAGTCTGAGTTATGTCTTATGACTTATAACTTATGGCTTATAGATACAGGTAGAGCATCTGTGGTCAAATGGTTGGTTTCTTCTCATGAACTCATTCTTTCCTTGAATACTTGCAAGACCTCAAAGATGACACCCAGAGAAACACAGACCTCTGACACTTGCCTGGGATATATGAATGGGTCCCATCACACGCTGCTTATCATGACTTAAGGGCAGACACTGAGTCCTAGGTTTTCCTTGAGTTCCCACCCCAACCCCATAACACTTGTGTAGCTCTGCATTTTATAATTTTCATTGAGTGATTCATTTCATTCTGAATCCTGTGTTCTTTGGACATGCCACCAAACAGCAAAGGACTCAAATTCCTCTAGGCAAAATCATAAGTGCGAATTTATTATTAGGGGGTCTTCCGTCAACCTTCCCTTTTCTTTGAGTCCTTGTAGTATTTTCCTAGATTTCTAGTGACCTTATGCTCGCTATTAGGCCACACTGCAGCTTAGCTATGAGTGTGGCCTAATAGAAAATCATAAACTTATTTAAAAGATTATGAAATTTGTTTTACAAAAAATTTTCAACTTGGTGGCATGACTTTTGAGCATGAAGTTTATATGTGACAACACTGTATAATAGTGTTATCTACGAGGTCTCCTCTGGGTGGACCATGGGACATTCCTTCTCTAATCATTATCTACACTAACTTGACTTGTGTAGACAAAATTATGGAGGGAATCTAGTAAAATTATCCTCATGTGAGTGTTGATGAGCATCTGTGGATTTTCAGAGCCCAAAAGTTAAGAGGTGAAACAGTCCAGTTCTCACTGAATCATTGAGAAAATTGAGAACTGATGGTTGAGAGGTTCCTGGTCACACAGTGGTGAACTTGACAGTGTGTGGCTGGAGGCAATGAGAGGTGCTGCCCGGGAGATGCCTGGCCTGTCAAAGTTCTGATCTCTTCTTGTCCACAGGTAAAGCCTTCATTTCTCATAGCCACAAACCTAGAAGACATTATCTACCACATCTCATTCATAGTGAGTGACACTGTGGACCTCTGGGAATTCTCTAGGAATGAGGAAATTTATGGCCCAATTTGATTGTAGTTCTGCGTTTCAATGTTACTAATACAATAAGAAGAAAATTAATTTGGAAATGGAAACAAACAAAATCAAATTTAATGGAACAAAAGAAAGAGAAATTGGGGGGTGAGTATGGAGAGGGGATGAAGGAAAGACTGAAATGGAGGAAGGGAGAGAAAGAAACAAGGATTCTCTTCATTCATCTTTCAGCAAAACATCGGGCCAAACACCACAGCCCTGAGTAGTTCTCAAAGCCACACTGCAATGCCCAGGACCATTTCCTACACAGAAAGGAAGCATGTAGGCCCATTCCTACCATAACCCTTGTCTCACTTGAACCACATCACTCAAAGCCAAGACTCCAGAGAGCAGCAGTCAAGACTCCAGAGATCAGCAGTCAAGACTCCAGAGATCAGCAGTCAAGACTCCAGAGAGCGGCAGGGAAAACACAATGACTAATGCAGCTCATATTCCAAACAACGTTCAGAGAAAAAATAGAATGAACTGGTAGAAAAAATAAAAAAGGATGCAGTGGGTGGATCTTGTAATTTGGGGGGCAATTTAAGGACAAGCTTTAAGGGCAGATGAAGAGCAAGCCGGATAAGACAAATTAGAAGAGACAGATTCTCATCCGGTGGCCATAACAGTTTAACAGATGAGTATGGTGGAGAGTCTACAACCCACCGGATAGAGCAGCAGGCTGTTTACAAGGACCAGGGTGTCCCAGTTCACGGGAAAGAACCTGTGGGATGTATCACCCTGTTCAACAGTTCCTCATCAAAAGCCTGACTGCACCCATTCACCAGTTCAAGGTGATCTCATTGGCTTGCAAGAGCTGTAATTCTTCAGCTTTAGACTCCAGTTCTTGAAAAGAGTAAGAGAAAAGGGGAAAGAAAAGGAGAGGGAAGGAGTGGGGAGGGGGAAAGAGAGGGGAGGGGTAGGAGAGAGGGAGGGGGAGGGAGAGGTGAGGGGGCAGGAGAGAGGGAGGAGAGGGAGAGGCTGCCATAGGACTTGTAAACTTCTAACTATGTGATCATTGCCAAATCAATTCCTCCATCATCTAGGTTTTCATCTTATTATTAAATCTGATGTAATTTAGATTTTCATAATTCATTGCAAACATAAACATTTCATAAAACTGCGGAAACTTTTTAAAGATATCGAAGAGGAAGGACAATGTGCAGTGTCTGGAACTGGTATAATAAAAGCAGGAATTTCAGAGCCATATTACAATAATTTGACATAATTATAGCATAAGAAAAAGATACAAGACCAGATGATCCAAAGTTGCTCACTGTGAAAAGATGATTATTTGGTAATAAACATGGAATAGCTGAAAAGGCAACTCTCAGCCAAAGCCTTTTAAGTAAAAAGGAGGCTACGGCTTGTCTGTTAGCCCCTACGGTTTACAAAACCCTTCACTTCAGAGCATAATGACATGCTGGTCAGAGCTAGGGAAGGAACAGAAGATGATAACTTCAGTCACACTCAAAAGGCCTAGCTGGTGGTCTGTCATCTTTTGGGAGATGATAGGACTCTTAAAAAGACTGATAAGCAGGGGCTGAGATGATTCAGTTGTTAAGAGCACTGGCTGCACTTGCCGAGGACCTGGTTTTGACTCCCAGCACCCAGGCAACTCATCTGGAACTCTACTTGTGGAAGATCCATCACTCTCTTCTTGCTATTGGGGTCCACACACAAACATGCATGCAAAACATCCATACATATAAAAATAAAAAAAAAATCTTTAAAAATATGACAAACATCATGGTCTTTAGTCCAAAGAGGAAAAGAATCAAGATGTAAGTCTTTATTCCTTTAGTCAATAGATTCATGGACTCTGAAGCCCTTCCTAATCTTTATCATGGCCTAAGAGCTCTAGGTTGGAAATATGACCTTGAACCTATAACTTCCTGGTGAATGCAGTGCGGTTAATTGCTACAGAGGAAGCTCTTTCCCCCGGGGCTCTGCTGGATCATTGAGATTGAATTTCAAAGCCAAGACTGTATTTATTCACCCAGATGTTGGATATACAGAAGCAGAGGTCATCAGGTGATATCCATGCCTCATGAGTATGGGCATGTGGCTTGTGGTTAGATCTGTGCAATTTGGGGGTGTTTATCTCCATACTGAACAGTCACTAACACACATGGCTCCCTCACAGTGAACTCTTAGGCACATGTTTTAGCCTTGAGGACTCTACTTATCTTGAGAGATGGGGAACTAGGGCATATGGTCTCTAGATGGTCTACTGTCCCCAGCCTGTCTCTGCATGAATTTCCCTGCCTGAAATTGTGTGACACCTAGCTACTATTCAGTTACCTTACCTCATTTGTGTGTAGGAGAGAATAATATCAGCATTTAATTATTTAAATTTCCTGTGACTTTCTGAAAGGTGCCACATTTTACATTTTATGTAACTTACCTTTTTTTCCCTTAAATGCAAATCATTTTTCTTTATCTAAACCCTTGGCTTAACAAAGACTATCATAAAAACAGCTGCAAATAGTTACTGAACTGTTGTGAACCAAAACTTAGCAATTACATGCTTGGTGCAGCTCATGAATTATTGAAAGGAATCACCAGGCACTGTGAGGGAGCTCCATGTTACAGAAACAGAAAAAGACAGGAGAAAATAGTAAATACAACCCAACCTCAGGCCAATACACACATGTATGGAAATTAATTTAGCTTCATATGAGTTGTTGGCCATAAAAATAAATTAGATTCTTTATTTGTGGGAAGTAAATCCTGTCCCTGGCTAATTTAGTGAAGTGACCTTCATGTTTGATAAAGCATGGGCTTTGACAAAGTCAGGCCAGCTCGAAGCCTGGCTCTGCAACCAACTTCTTATAGATCTAAGCAAGCTTTTAACATCTACCAGTGATGTAGGAAAACTGATTCTCCCTCCTGGCACTGAAAGGTGGAAGCAAATGTGAGTTGTGAACTATACTGGCCAGCAGATGCTCAATAAATATTAATTCCTTTCCTTTCCCTGACACGATGTGTTTTGTGGTATGCAGCTGCCTAAGTGCCAACTGCTCCTCCTGGGCATAAACTGAGTCCAACCCTTCCTCCTCAATTTGTAGTCTTTTTTCTGAGGAGTAAGGAAGAGACCCGAAGATCAGGGACTTCTGAGGATTGTTTATAGGTGGAGTCGAATGTAAAAATAGGACGATAGCTACCGTATTGTTTCTGAAATACCTCATATTAACAATTTGATTTTAGATTTTATTTATTGAATCTTTCCTTGCCTGAAGCAGCGCTCACTCTGAAAGGTAAGATGAGTCAGTAGATGCAGAGCAATTGATGGAGAAACTCCCTCTGGCTCTGGAGGAAAACGCAGGGGAGATTTAACTAGGTTGAAAGGCTGGGCCGGCTAGGGTGTTACCCTGCACCTCTGAGTCATTACAAGGAAGAGGTAGCAAGTAGAGAAAGGGAGAGGTGTGGGGGTGGGGTGGAGTGGGGTGGTGCTGGAGCAGGGGGTTTCCCACAGTAGGGCACAGAGCAGAGAGCTGGCTTCTTTCTGAACGCTGCAGGTCTCACAGCTAATTGAGACTGTGGGCTTTGATGCTGCTGCCCGGTCTCAGGAGGCCCCGGCTTAGCTCCCACGTCATCCACAAGGCCTC